TCTGTAAGGATGTTGTCCCCTGTGTTGCAGATGAGGAAACTGACTCAGTGAAGTGATTTCCAGTGGAGCCCACGTAGTGGGGGGCTCAGCTGGGATGATGAGCTTGGGTTGCCTGGCTCCGACACCCATGCTCTCCCACTGTCCCCGGTGCCATCGTGGGAACAAGCTTCTCTAAGTCAGACCCAGCAATCAGGTGCAGCAGTGAACCTCCCGCCTTCCACCCAGACGGTAAGACAAGAGCATCAGTGATAAGGCAAGACACTTGTCCCTTTAAGTTTCTAGAATTATGGGGCGTGTGATGAAAAGTAAACCAACTCGGGGCACCTGGGTGGCTCAGTCGGTTAAGTGGCCGACTTTGGCTCAGGTCATGATCTCACGGTCCGTGAGTTCGAGCCCCGCGTCGGGCTCTGTGCTGACAGCTCAGAGCCTGGAGCCTGCTTCCGATTCTGTGTCTCCCTCTCTCTGACCCTCCCCTGTACATACTCTGTCCTCTCTCTGTCTCAAAAATAAATAAACGCTAAAATTTTTTTTTTAAATATAAAAAAAGAAAAGTAAACCAACTCAAAAATCACACCTTCCCTGCCACAGAAGGAAAACACAAAGCCTCATGGGTCAGAAGGGAGAGCAGCCAACCGTCTCCTATTTCCACAGAAGGAACATGTCAGAATATGTCAGGGCACACTCCGTTGAGGGAGGCGCTTCTGAGTGCCCCTCACCAACGCATCTGCCACGTCCCTCCCCCGGGGTGGGGATCGGGGCACTGGAACTGTGACTTCTTTCTGGAAAGAAGCCAGTTGAGGGGATGGCACTCTGCAGTCAAGACCCCCTTCCTTTTCTCACATTTCTGGTCATACAAGGTCCAGGCAAGAATATGTTGGTGGAACACAAAAGGTGAGTCAAACAGAATCTAAATATCAAATGGCTGCTTTTCTGAACTGATTACGGAGGTGCACGATCGGGTGTGGGCCTGTCCCAGCCCCTAGATGTCACATCTGTTCTGAGGTGCTAGGCTGAGAGGGGACCAGCCGAGAAACATGCTCTTAGCTGGTTGTAGGGGACAGATATCTTGCCCCTTTGTGCTTTCCTGCTGTTCAAGCTCTGTCTTTTGTGGGGTTTTTTTGTTTTGTTTTTTAGTTTACTTATTTATTTTGAGAGTGAGAGAGAAAGGGAGGGGCAGAGAGAGACAGAGGGAGAGAGACAGCATGGAGCCCGACGCGGGGCTCGAACTCGCAAACCGCGAATTCATGACCTGAGCCCAAATCAAGAATCAGATGCTTAACCAACTGAGTCACCCAGGTGCCCCCAGGTTCTGGGTTTTAACTATCCTGAACCCAGATTACTTAGCAAGTCACAAACTAGAGGAAATAGCCTGGTTGGGGCACAGGGTAGCTTGTGGGCTTGCAGCAGGGCCATCTGGGGCCCACGTGACCTTGGGAGGCTCCCACGCCAAGGGGCAGGCTGGTCCCGGCCCTGGGCCCCGGAGAGGGTCAGGCCGCTGCTAGAGGACAGCCTGGCCCGGAGGCAACATCAGAGCCTGCCAAGGTCTCTGCCAAGGACCTGCTAATAGTTCCCATCTATCATCCGTGGAAGCGATTTCTGAGGCTAGATAATTGACTTCTGTTCATTGTGACAGATGAAGTTTTGACACGCCTGAGCCCACGCCTGTCTCTTTCATTAGTGACAGGCTCTGCCTTGGGAGGGCAGCTCCGTGGGAGACGGAGAATCGTGTCCCGGCTTTCATCCCAGCGCGGGGAGCGAGCTGAGATGTGATGTCGTTTTTTTCTGCCATTCAGATAAATCCCCGTTATCTTTGCCTTTGGAGTTGTGCAAGAAATGTACTGATCATCTCGAGGTTCTAATCGAAAGAGTTAATAATTACTTACATTCATACGTTTTTTACTGCTCTTTCACGGTGTATCCGTTTTTGAATTTCTTTTTTAAATGTTGACTTATTTTTGAGAGACAGAGAGCACCAGCAGGGGAGAGGCGGAGAGGGAGAGGGGGGAGACACGGTCCAAAGGGGGCTCTGTATTGTCAGCACAGAGCCCGATGCGGGGCTCAAACTCACGAACCGCGAGACCGGGACCTGAGCCAAAGTCGGACGCTTAACCGACTGAGCCACCCGGGTGCCCCGGTTTATCTTTTTTTTTTTTTTTTAATTTTTTTTTTAACATTTATTTATTTTTGAGACAGAGAGAGACAGAGCATGAATGGGGGGAGGGCCAGAGAGAGAGGGAGACACAGAATCTGAAGCAGGCTCCAGGCTCTGAGCTGTCAGCACAGAGCCCGACGCGGGGCTCGAACTCACGGACTGCGAGATCATGACCTGAGCCGAAGTCGGCCGCGTAACCGACTGAGCCACCCAGGCGCCCCCCGGTTTATCCTTTTTAATAACAGCACTAATAACCAGCCTGTATATGGCATGTTACAGAGACATCATTTCATTTGGTCTTTCTGGGAGAGGCGGGGTGCTATTCTGCCCTCTGAAATTCAGAATGGTTAAATGACCCGCTCGGGGTCGCGCAGACAAGAAGCAGAGCTGGGATTCCTGCTTTCGGGTTCTGAAGGGCTGTCCCACTCCCTCCCCAGTTTGGTCTGAAGGCTGCCCCTGCTTACGTCTCCTCGTCCCTGCCCTAGCTGGGGTTCCCCCGCCTCACAGCGGGGGCGCTCCAGCAGCCCCCGAGTGGCGCCCCCACCTCATCCGGTCCATCCAGGACACCCGCACACGGGTGCAAACCGGTTCGGCCTCCCAAAGCACCACTTTGCCTCCGTGGTGAACTGCACCCTCGAGAATCTGCAGTCAGCATCATTTACTGAATGAGAACAGCCTCAGGGCGGGGAGCACGCTGTGTTTACCAGTGGGAACCCACAACTCAGCACAGGGTGCACGGTGGCACCCCCAGTGCTGCTTGAGCGATGGGATAAACAAGAGACTGCCTGTCTCCTCGCACGTTCTCCCTGTTTAATCAGTATTCAAACTGCTTAGCCTGGCGTTCAATCCACTTATAAGCCATTTCTGTATTAGTCAGGGCGCTTTATGTTTTGAGAGATTAAAAATCCAGTTGCAAAGTATTGAAGCATAAAAAGGGGAACCTATTGGCTCGCATAACCAGAAGGTCTAACTATCAAGAATAGGATTGGGGCGCCTGAGGCGAGATCTGGGAGGTGGACATGTCAGAGGGGGATCAGAGATGATGGGGGACAGAGGGGTGACCTATGTTGTACGTGCTTGAGCAAAATCCCAGAGTCTGGGTTTTCATGCAGTCCTGGGACTTTTGTCTGAATAGGGCAGGCAGGACCAGTGGCTTCAATGGGTAACATCCTGTGGGTCTAAGGACTGAAGGCTGGGACCCCTCAACCTGCGGGTGGGAGTAGAAGGAGGTGCTTGGAGAGGCCACACCAGAGGTAGGATTAGTTAGGAGCTTCTATCCAGTAAGAGAGTCACTTCTGGGTAACACCCCCACCCTACGCGAAAATTGCTTTCTTCCTGTCAAGAACATTAGGACTGCTATGGCCCCAGATAACTTTCTCTCTCTCTCTCTCTCTCTCTCTCTCTCTCTCTCTCTCTCTCTCCCTGGGGACCTGCGCCAGAGGGCTGTTTCCTGTGGCTTCCACTGCTCTGATTTCAGAATTGGTTCCCTTTATCAACACCAACACCATAGGATTCCCCCAGTTTGATGAGGGCAAAGAGAAGAGAGCCAGGTCGATGCATACTAGCCATATTTCCTGGAAATATCCGCGTCCCCCTCCCCGCCCCTGGCCAAAGCTAGGGGCGCTCCAACAGCCAAGACTCAGATCCCACAGATAGGAAGGGAGAGAGCCCATACTCACAGCCAGGTTTCCTGACTCCATGGGGAGTGTCCTTTCCACCTCACAGAGCCCAGACTCTGTAGCCGGGCCTCTTGGCTTATACCCTAGCTGTGTGATCTTGGGCCAGTGTCTCACCATCTCTGTGCCTTGGTTCTTCACCTGGAATGCTCTAAGAAGGAAAGGAGTCATTGCACAGAGACCACGTTCAGCACAAGATAAGTGTGCTTATCTTTGGACGATTATTATATCACGCTGCTGCTGAAAATGGTTTGCACCCAGAAAAACAACATTCTAGAAAAACAGGAAGCCTCTTTTCAAGTGGAACCCCGGGAAGACGAACAGCCCTGGGAAAGCTGGTCTTCCTTTTCCCGTCTTGGTCAGTATGTTCCTCACCAGTGAGCCCAGGCCCACGACAAGGCCCACAACAAGGCCCTCGCGGGAAAGGAAGGTCAGCCGGAGAGTCTCGGCCGGTTTTGTCCTTGATGGCCTAAATTAGATGGTCTGACTGCCGTTTGGAAAAATGCACTGCATTCTTTATGTATTTTCCCCATCAAAACACGTCTGTTTCGTTCTCTTTTAAAGGGCATTCATGAGTCATCCGGCAGGAACAAAGAAGCTTCAGTCTGAAAGTTCCACGGGGAAACGGTTTCAACAGTGTGGGCTCGCAAGGTTTTCTGAAATCTGAACACACGCCTCGGAGGTGCCCCCAAGCACCTGATAGCGGCTGTTCTCTCCTGACAGCTGGATTCCAAATGTAAACATTGTTTGTCTGAACGCGCTGCGATCATTTGCATGCAGATGTAGAGGCTCTGCGGCAGGGTGTGCTGGGAAGCAGCTCGAACACGCTTTCTGTTTGCGCCGTCTGGTAGGGCCCAGCACGCGTTTCTGGATGGGCCCGTCGCGGTGTTTCCTAAGGAGCTGAGAGCCGGGCCAGCACCGTTTGTCTTCCCAGGGACAGCTCTCCGACTCCAACTCAGTCCCCGGGCCATCCGAGTGAGGCGAACACCCAGAAGGCCAACAGGGTGGAAGGGGAGGGGTGGGGGTGAAGTCCTGCCACCCGCAGCCCGGGTCCAGACATCCGGACGCCCGGCACCTGTGCCCCCACCTGTGCGGTCCGTCTGCACCCCCCTCTCGGCTCCTTGCGCACCTGAGCCCACGAGCCTGCCCTGAAGTGCACGTTGGTAGCAGAGCCGGGCGGGTGGCGATTCGGGCCCAGGCCCCGCCCTGTTGAGCCACGCGACGAGGGTCTTGGTTCCTCTGTGCCCGAGTTTCATCAGCTTCTCAAAGGGGATGATAACGTAACGAGTCTCCCTCGTGGGGTCAAGGCGAGGATTCGATGATGTCACGCGTGCGGAGTGCCAGCCCGGCATCTGATTCAGGTGAGCACTGGGCACCTGTCGCCATCGTTCAGCCAGCAAGTCCCCCATTGCCTTCCGGGGTTATTTCACCAGGCTTCCAACGGGTCACCC